TCTATAGGAATGAATAGCATAAATGAAGAAACCATATTCAAAATGAGTATCACACATTTTTCCAGATGTGTTAGGGTCTGAGCTGTTTCAAATGTTCCAAAGTATCTTCACCCAGAAACCTATAAGCCTCTCTTGAAGAACATGTGATTTTATGAACACTCTCAGCATAATTTTGAAATGTGCTGAATAAGGATTAAAATTGGAAACAATTATTAGAAAAAAGAGAACACTGTGTAATAAATAGCAAACTATTAATTATATGCATACATATGTTTGTATATATGTCCATATATATCCATTTGTGTGTATATGCATATACATGTGGATTTAGACATGCACATGAACATACCATTAAAGAGTAAATACTTTTGGAAAGATTTTTATGTATACAATTCTATAAGCTTTTTTCAAAATTGATGATTTTTTGTACCGGGAACTGAACTCATGATCTAATAGGCAGACGCTGTTCTGCTGAGCTAAGTCCCCAGCCCATTGTTGTTGTTTTTTTTTTTTTTAATTAAAGCACAGTAGAAAAGTGAGCAAGCTGGAGTCAAAAATAATGATTTATTTGTGTGCTATGGAAATAAAAAGTAAGAATATTAAATTAAAAACAAATGCATGATTTTCCAGGTTCTTCAAATTCTTCTTGAATTGTGTTTGATTTTGCTTGATCCATTTATACTCTCCTGTTCTTCTCCATACAGATTTCTCTTAGTATTTTTAAAATTTTATTTTAGAGAGTGAAAAAAGATAAACATAACAATGCAACCAAGTTTCAAAACAGGTTAGTAGGACCGTTACAACAGTTGATACACTGTGTACTGTTGTCTTCCTAGTAGTTATTCAGAGTAGAAGATCTAGGCATGATATCTTGGCTATAAGATGTTAGCATAAAACTTTCCATTAAACAACTAGAAGAAGCTAGCTATATAACTAACTTGTGTATATGTATTTTTTTTACTTTTTCCTTTTCTTCCTTTCCCCTTTCTCCCATCACAGTTCATATTTTCTTTTGAACAGTTTCTTCCCAATTCACAAAATCTATTGTACATTTCCATCTTATTTACTTGTTCATTTTCTTACACTAGTGAAACAATACAATGTTTACACATATGGGTCTGATTTATTTCACTTATGAGCAAGATGAGTGTGGTCTCAAGTTGCATCCATTTAGCTATAAAAGACTCAATTTTATTCTTCTTTATGATTGAGTAGCACTCCATTATATATATAAAAAAAAATCTTTTTTATCCATTCCTTTACTCATGGGCATCTGGGTTGTTTCCAAGATTTAGCTACTACAAATTGTGCTGCTATAAACATGGGTGCACACAGATAGCTGTCGTATGATATTTTTAATACTTCTGGGAATCCAGAAGAGGAATAGCTCAAAATCCACATTTTGAAGGAATCTCCACACAAATTTCCACAGTGGTTTTACCAGTTTTACACTTCCACCAACAGTGGAGAAGGATTTGTTTTTCCCCACAGCTCCTCCAGCACTTATTATTGGTTGATTTCTTGATGATAACCATTCTTTCTGGGGTGATATGAAATCTCACTATTTCTTTAATTTTCGTCCCTTAAATGACTAATGATGTTGAACATTTTTTCATGTATTTATTTGCCATTTGTATCTCTTCATCTGAGAAGTGTGTATTCATCTCAGAGGCCCATTTTTTGATTGGGTCTTTGAATTTGGGGAGTATGATTTTTTTCAATTCTTTATATGTTCTAGATATAATGCCTTTGTCTGAGGGCTAGTTGGCAAAAATTTTCCCACTCTGTGGGTTGTCTTTTCACTTTGTTAGTGATTTCTTTTGTTGTGTGAAACCTTTCTAGTAAGGTGAATTCCCATTTGTTGATTCTTTGTACTATTTCCCTTCTCTTCTAGGTTTTGTTCATGAAGTCTCCACCTACATCTATGTCTTTTAGACTTCTGCCTACTTTCTCTTCCAGTAAATTCAATATTTCTATTCCATACAGATTTAAAATCATCTTACAACAAATTTTAATATTTGTCACATTTATTTTTTTAAATGGTTGGCAATTGACCGGGACTACCAGGTCAGTAACTCAGTAACTCAAAGGTTTTTATTTGATGGCTTATGTTTTGGAACAACTACAAAATTACACAACATAAATATTTCAGTAAAGGAAGTAGTGTTACATTTCTGAAAGATCAAGTAATAACATTTGTGTAGGGGAAGAGATATTTAACATACAGTTAAGAAATTCACTGTTGCTTGTCTCCCACTTGCCCACCACACTGTGGACAATGAGGGACACTGGGCTTCTTCTGTCCCACATTTTTCCTCCTCCTCCTCTTCCTTCCATCAATACTAATATATTAAGCAACACTCTACTATACACTTAATACATACTATATCTGATACTTAAGTAATACAGAAAACGACTCATTACCCGCATTTTCTTGTAAGGGATCCAGTCACTCAGAATTTTAAGTAACTAACCACAATTATACTTCAAAACATAGTGAGATTATTTATGTGTTTGATGCTAAAAAAATGCCCCAGGAGAAGAAACATATACATGAAATTGGTTCCATTAACAAATATACTGGGGGCTGGGGATTTAGCTCAGTGGCACAGCACCTGCCCGGCAAACACAAGGTCATAAGTTCGATCCCTGGTACAGTAAACAAAACAAAACAAAACAAAACAAAACAAAACAAAAATATACTGTAGACTATCAAAGAAGGATTTGATGAAATAATAACATAGAATCCTTACATCTGCATATGGTATGGAAAATAATTATGAAATAATTATTTCTGTTTCCTCAAGAAGTGCACATGAAAGTGCTAATTAAACTTCCTGTACAGGGATTCAGTTTTCTACCTTTGCTCTGATCACCGTCATCATCACCAAGGACTTACTAACCTCCTAGGATGTAGGAACATTATGCTAATATACCAGGAACATAATCATGTATGAGCCCAATTACTCTTCATTTTTTTTCTATTTTGAAGTCTCCATAGAGAGCAGCATGATGTTTGAAAGAGAATATGGCCACCGTGGCCAGAGAGACCTGAGTGACCACAGACAAGTGTTCTAATATCTTAGCACAGTGCTGTTAAGATACTTAGTGCTACAAGGTTTCAGCACAATGTTGGCTACATAAAAGGTGCTCATGAAAGTTCTTCTTGTTATCACAACAATTATTACACTTACTATTATTATTATTATTATGTAACTTTGAAAGTTCCTAAGCAATTCAAGGAACATCCCTCTCATTTCAGTGTGACAAGTGAATAATTGGTTATGTTATCTTCCAGACATGTGAAAAGAGGTTAAAATACTTTTTTCATTTCTGATTTCTAAACACTATAAAAATAGAATGATTACAGTTAGAAGAACAAACATGAAAGAAAATAGCCACTCCACCCAAAAAAGCAATCGCAACCTTGTGAAATGTTCCTACAATAAATATTTTAGGCCACTGGAAAGATATTTTGACTTAAGAGAGCAACATTTTCATTGCAAAGTAATTAGAGCTTAATAGGGTCTTTGAGTAAATCAGAAGAAGAAATGAGAGCGATCATGACCTCTATATTTAATTAAACTTCTTCAGGTAGCTAATTCTTTTATAGGTTGATTAACAGAGTGTATGCTAGCATTCATTTTAAGGTGTGAATATGTGTACTAGGTCATAGAAAAATCAAAGAGACAATTAAAACATTTTAATTTGCTTTTAAAGAAAGAGAAATATGCAGTCTAGGTCTATCTTAATTCTTCCAAAGTAAGCAAATGAACCAACTATGTAAGGGAAAAAGCTCTATATTCGCAGAGCAGAATCAGATCCTTTCTAAAATCATCTTTTGTTAAGTGTGGAATTTTGCAAAATTACTTAGGTTTTCTAAACATCACTTTCTTCAGCTGAACAATGTACTAATAATAGTACTTATATAGGAACATTAATGCAAGGTCTAAAAGCAGAAGGTTTTACATACTCTTTGGTCAATAAATGTTAATTTTCATTACACTAAAGTTACTCAGAAAATAAATGAATTAGTAATACAACCATCCCACCCTACAAGTACTTTTTTTATTAGTTTCTCTTAATCTTAATATTCCACTGGCCTCAGAACTCACCAAATAAAATATAAAAAGGGCAGTGGAATATCTCTTAAGGTTGAAATACTTAATAAGAAATCAATAATTAAAACTGCAAATGTAGGCTGTTAACTGATTTCAAAGATAGTTTCCACTTTCTTAAAAAGGTTTCCATTGTCTTCCAACAAATTGTCAGTATGATAGTTAAATTCAATTTAATCCTTGTTCTTTCCTTCTTACTATTTCCAATATATTCCTAATCCCCACTTTCTCTTTCTTCCATCTTTATACAGAAATATAAGTTTAAAGGATCAGAATTTATCTTCTGGAAATGTTAATTTAGAGTATGCTAGTTGGAGAACTTTTTCCATATGTCTGTAATGCTTCCATTTTTAAAAAGAAGAAAAATACAGGCAAATGCTTTGGAGTTAAGCAAATGTTTTTTTCTTTGTCAGGCCTGGAAGAAGTGAAAGCACAGAAAAGAAACACCTTGTCTTCAGAAAAACAGCAAAAGGCAAAAACAGATCTTCAGTAAAAGACCCAAAACTCCATAGTGGAGTTGAACTCTTAAGGTATAATTGATTCTGTCAGAATAAAAAATGGAACATAACAAAGAGATTATATAATAAGAATCATTTTGGTGGTAAAGAAGACCCCTTTAACAATGGAGATACAGTTGAATCCTAGTGTGATCATTACAGGTTCATTTTCCTGCTTCATGTTCCCATAATAAAGGCCTTAGGAGAAGCAATGACATTTTAAATTGCTCAATCTCACAAAAAAATTTTTTTAGGCTTTCTCAGGAAAAATTATTTTCCCACGTTACTTGAAGAATGGTTTGGAAAGCAGCATTGTGAATGAACAGAAAGAAACAGCAAAGGCAGCACTAGAGAATTAGGGCACTGACAAAGGGAAAGGAATTACCTGTGGACATTGGCTCCACGTTCCCCACTCAGACATGACACATTCACTGGGACATAGGAGAGAACAGGACTGGGTTTCTGGGGGTGCTTCTTCCTGGTTGCACAGGTTTTGATCCACTGCTTCCCCTTCATTGTCAGCAGTATTCACACATCTGTGAGGGGAGACCACAAGGTGGCTTGATTCTTTACAATGGTGGAGAACAAATTTAAGATAATTATGCTGTATCATAACTACTGACTGTTCAGAGATCATTAAATGGGCCGTTATTGAGTGATGAGTCAGTACAGCACATTTTACTTCACAAACCGATGAGCACACTGGAAAACTAGGGACAGTGGTTATCCTCAAAGAACTCCCAGTCTCAAGAGACCTAGAATGTATTCACTCAATGTGAGCACTGAGGAAATGTTCCTTTCATCGGAAAATGTCTTACTGGCTTCTATGAATAGATCAACCACGTTGCAATAGCTGGAGACTTCATACTTTCTCTGGCTCGCCTGCCCTTCCCCAGCACCTTGCCCAAAACCACCCTAAACTTTGTCCCCCACATTTAAGGGCATAGCAAAGCAATATGAAAAATAATTGAATACATCATTCTTTCAGGCAGTTTTTACATTTCATTTTAGATGTTTGCTCCCATAGCCAAAGAGCAATGAGGAAGTACTGTCATTCAGCATAGGAGCACAGAGCACAGGGACACAATATTGTTGCTTACCCTGCTCTGTACCTGTGAGATAAGTGGTCATGTTATGGATAGGATAGTGAAGACTCAATCATACTAAAACCACAGTGTTATACTACTATGTATCCTTCCCAAAACACTTAAATCACATATTTGGAAAATACCACAAGTAAGCAAAACTGTAGAGTACCTGTAAGTGTTCTTATTTTGAAAACTGGTAGTTAGTATCTACCTTGTGTTACCTAGCATTTGTATGAGAATGTGAAAAAGTGCAGATCCAAACAAAAATGAAAACTGATTGAAAATGTTTATAGTAGCATTATTCATAACCTACTAAGCCAGAAACAGTTCAAATGTTCAGTGACTAAGAAATTTGCTAAGTAAGTTAGAAGAGATAAATACTTTGTACTAAATCCATTGGGTTAAATGCTATCAAATGATGAGAATACATAGAGTATTATGACATAAAATGCTTGTAATGTTGAACAAAGACAGAGAGACACAAAACAAAATATAGTCTATATTTCCATTCATATAAAGGTTTTTATAAAATGCCAACAATAATCCATGGTGTCAGAATTCAGAAGAGTGGTTACGCTTGCGGGAATGCTGAGCGACTGATAGGGGTTTAGGTTTACATACTTTTGGTGCTATTTTGTTTTTTGACTTTTGGTTATACAAGTATGTAACACAGGTTGGCTTGCAGCTTGAAATTCTCCCAAATATGTCCCTCTGCTGCTAGTATTTCTCTATACTTATAGTTCAGTTAGAAATTTATTTTTTGACATTATTTAATATAAACTTACCATGTGCAAGGCACTTTCCTTAGGTATTGGGATATAACATTATTTGTTAATAATGATGTACTTAGTAAATATTCTTTGGGTTTATGAGGGTCTTGTGTGGATGTTGGAGTACAAAACTGGGGTGAAAAAAGACATTTTCCCTGATGTATTATTCCAGTGCTATTGAAAAAGACAAAGTTAAAAATGGCAATGGTGATGAGGTTAATGATATCATTCGCTGATCTGCTAACTTTGATATAATGTCAAGGTAAGGGTACGCATTTTAACAGTGTTATGTGGGGAGCTCTGGTGTTCCTCAAATCATGCTGTTCTAACGGATTATCCTATATCAGGGGAGTTTCTTCTGCACAAACATTAAAAATAGTGAAAGGAAACAAGGTAATTTGCTAAACAGCCAAACATGTGATAGAAAGTAAAACAAGCTCTATTAGCTGTTAAGCAATGCAATACTAGAAATTTCATAATGGAGGTTATCAGGGAGTAGAAGAGGGAGAGATCTAAGTAATGCCTTCTAATACAGGGAGCCATGGCATAGACTCTGCTACAGACTTCAATTTCTTGTATGATTATGGTCAATAGGGGAAGGAAAGTCCATGGGATGGCTTTCCCTGAACAAGCTGAAAACACTTAAAATTGCTTTGCTTCCTTCCTCCCCAGCTGATGTTCTTGTATCATTTCACTGGGAAAGAAGAGGTAAGATTTCTTGTTAATGATAGCAAATGTTCTCGTGGATTAGTTTTTGTTGGCTTTCAAAATGCCGCAAAAGCTGTAATAAAGAAACTTGTTACCGAAGTAATAATAATAGTACTGATAGATGGAAAGTCATTTCACTATAAGATGAAGAACAGGACAGAGCATGGTAAGTGGAAAATAAATGGACTCATGAACTACTTTAACACATCTTAGACAGCTGTAAACCATACCTTCAAGTGACAACATTAAAATAACAACATTTATGCCACAAATCATATAAAAGTATTCCAAAATTTGTGATTCTAAGAATATCTGGACATGGAGTAAAGAGGGGGCCAGATAACTGGAAGGCTTGTTGAAAATATGGTTAATAAGTACCTAGCTCCTCACATATAGCTAAGTAATTGATTGCTCCTTTTCTATCCCTGTAGATTTATTTTCTCAGTACTGGGAATCGAACTCTTGACCTTGCACTTACCAGGCAGGCACTGTACCCCTGAGCTAAATCCCCAGCCCCCCTGTAGATTTATTATCTAGAGAGGGCCATGCACAGAATATCTTTGGAATACAGAATGTGGTACACTTAAGAGGGATACCATATTGAACACGGGAGTTTAAGTTTACATACTGAAACAAAAATCACTGTCTTAATTGCTTAAGCCCTAAAAACTTATATACAATTCTGCTGGCTACATTCTAACACGTGTCTCACTGAGCTGCATACCCTGCCTATTTCCCTTCAGCCATCAATTCATTTCTACTCAGACTCATTGTGAAATTGCTGTACACTATTCTATATTTGCTATCAATGCTTCCTTCCCTCCCCTCCGTTATTACTTCTGAATATACTTCAATCATGCTTTGATTGCCACAGCAGAGAAACCTCTTACCAAAATTACCAGCAGCTTCCCCACTGCCACGTCCAATGGTCAGTTCTTATCTCACTCAATTCAAAAATATTTGAAACAATTGATTGCTATACTTTTCTTGAAAACTGCTCTTGCTTGTCTTCCTATTTTCTTAGTTTTCCTCTTAGTCCCCTGGCTTTTTCCCAGTCTCATTTGTAGAATCATTCTCTTGAATCTTTCCACCTTATGAAAGTTACAGTTCTGCAGGGCTCAAATCTTATCTCTTTATACTAAATTGATAAGCTAACGCTACCCAAATTTATATTTTCAATCTCTCCCCTCAATGTAACCTGCATTATGGCTGTTGAGAAGCTAATAGCATATCAAATTTATTGTGTTCATAGCTAAGTTTTGCTTTTTTCTCAAACCTGCTTCTAATATTTCTTAACTCCACAAATGTTACTCTCAAATCTACAGATGCTTAGGCCATAAAAATTAGCAGTCATCCTTCATGTGTCTTTTTCCTCTAATCTACAATCATTTTATTAGCAAATTCTGTTTCATACATTCAAAGTATATTCCAAATTTGACCTTCTCATCACCTTAATTATACTAATTCCAATCCAAACATCAACCTCTCTCACCTAGAATTCTGCAGTGGCCTCAAACCTACATTATTATTTCTATGTGACACACTACACTATCTTTTGTATATCATATCTATTAACGTCCTTTTCAAACATAAGCAGGAGCATGTCATTCCCCCACTACCCTCAATCCTTCCATAGTTTCACGGCTTTATGTTGTAGTGAGAATAATATGCTAAACCCTTACCTTGTTTTAGAATATATGATAGGATTTAAGTACTGGCACCAGCCATACAAAACATCTAGATATCCTTCCAACAAGCCCAAAATGGGTTTCCTTAACATATACCTTCTTCACTGGAATTCTCTTTTTAGAGATACTTATATGCATTCAGCTCTCTCATTTTATTCAGGTTTCTGCTCAAATATCATTTTGTTGACTAAACTCTCCAAAATGGTGCCCCTATGATTCCAAGCCAGTTTTATTTTTCTTCTTGGCATTTCATAGCAAAGACATTCCACTATGAATTAATTCATGAATTTATTCTTTTTCTGCCATTATAAGTGGTTTGAGAACAAAAACTTTTTTGTTCACTATTTCATCTTCTTTGCATAGATCAGAGTCTAATGCATAGAATATTAATAATCCTGTGTTTTGAACTGATCAATGCTGCAGTCATGGATGAATCATGAAGGTATTCTTCAGTTTGGAGGTTTTAAGAGACAGAACAGATTAGCTGTTTTATTCCTTATTAAAAGGTCTTCTTAAGGTCAAAAATAGTTTGGAATGCAAGATGCCTGCGAGATTTGCCTCACATATATGCAATCATATACTCAAAATATGTTATACAGTGAGCATCAGAAATTTGTTTTTACCAATTATGGAGGGTAAAGATCTGAATTCAAGGTACAGTTAGGATTGGTTTCCTCTGAGGCCTCTCTCTTTGGCTTGCACATAGCCATCTTTCCCCTGTATCTTCATGTGGTCTATCTTCTATGCCTGTATGTTAATCTGCTCTTCTTATGAGGCCATCAATCAGAGTGGAGTATGAGCCATGCTAATGACCCTGTTTTACTTTCATTACTTCTTTGTCTCCTTTACCTCCAAGTCCAATCACATTCTGATATTCTAGGGCTGGACATTTGACACATGCATCTGGTAGGAGGCATGATGAGCTTATCGCAGAGTAATACTGAATAGTTGGGTTGCTTTTATTATGTCAAGTTCTGTAGGATTGAGCTGAGTCCTCAATTAACTGCCATGATTCTGTCAGGGGCAGTTTGTGTCCTTACAACTTTTTTTTTCGATGGTCCATTAATACTGTACAGAAGCGGCAAGAATGGCCTCATTTGCATAGCATTTTATAAACTGGATTGATCTGTCACTTTTCAAAACCATGTGAGCATGAGACACAGGAGATATGAAATTTCAAAGAAAAAAAATCAAAGCCCAAAGTTTGTGAGACCTTGAGCATAAGACTCTCCAAGGGAGCTTCCTCCGTGGAATTTTCTAAATCTGGCAAAATGGTATACGATGTTTATGCAATTGAATAGTTGACTATGCTAGGTTTTCTTCCTATTCTACATACTAATTACTATGTAGCAGTATTTTAACTTTTTTCTTGTTCAGTCTTTAGTACTTACTGCCATTATCCTTAAGAGAGGAAAAGAAAACCTTTCTTCCCTCTCCCTGAGTTATTTCTGTATAGGCCAACTTGACAAATTCAGAACTAGCATAACCTTTGACTACCTCCACTATGTTTACAAAACGATATCTTGAAACAAACTCCCACAGTGAACAATTCAGTATTCACTAATCTTTCGGAGAAGTTCTCTTCTTATATTAAATTGTATAGTTACTACTCATAGGTATCCTCAGAGTTTTTGTTTCTAAGGTTCATTGTGGGGACTTGTACTGACCTTTCCAATACACTGGCTCCCTAAGCCAAGTGTGGTGGTGCATGCCTTCAGTCTGTGCAATTTAGTGAGACCTAGTCTCAGAAAAATGTATTTGGAGGTGTAGCTCTGGGAAGGCCCTGCATTCTAATCCTCACACTTATGGTCCAAAATGCACTAGAAATACAATCATCAATATCTAACGTGTTAATGGCAGTGGCCATGAAATCAGTGCTGACTTCACCGCAAGATGGGCTGCAGGAGTGGTAAAGACTGGGGTGCAGGAGTGGTAAAGGCTGCACGGCAGAGGGAATCCAACTATCCACACAGCAAGTGGGCAGCATATGCGTCTGTGGGAGTTTCAAAGTTGAGGAAAAGCCAGGGTGTGTGTATGAAAACTAGATAAGCAACCGTGTTGGTTTTATGAAAAAATATGTAAGCTCTGCTGCCTGCACTTCCCAAGCCCCTCCATTTTCACATACCTGATTTTCCTAGTCTGTGTTCCTCTTCCACAGCGTGGAGACCTCAGCTCATTGTTGATTTTGCATGGAGACCAGTGTTCCACAACCCAGGAGTACTGATTGCACTCACTGTAACACGGCACAGCTTCATGCACCTGCCAAAGACAGGAAAGGAAAGAAATGATGTGGAACTATCCAAGTCACTGAAGAATAGCCTACCTTTCAGAAATGCCTATTGGACATATCCAAGAAACTACAGACACTCTGGCACCAAAAGCCAAATTACATTCCCCAAAAGCAAAATATATTTGATTTCTGTGAATTTATTGACTTGCCTAAAGAAGTTTATGGAGGAAATCAACTAAAATAAGATGGTATGCCTTTAAAGACAATAACAAAAGACAGTCATTTCCTAGAACCATGAACAGGAATTCTATTATCATTTCATTTCCTCAAAGAGTTCACACAGTGTCTAGTGGATGGCCCAGCTCTCAATTACATGGTATATTTTATTCTCAGATGTACTTTAACATGTCAATTGAAACAAATGTATATAAGGGAAATTTACTCTTGAATATAAGGTGTTCTTTGAGTACATAAGAAAAGTGGTATTGTATGCACAGGAAATTTCTTTCTATGCCCCCAAGTGATCAATGCTAACAGGCAATCATTTAGCCTCTTGGGCATTGTGGTTTCATATGAATGTAGTTATTTGTAGGATGTTTTCAGAGCATAGCAAAACCACTTGCATACACACACACACACACACACACACACACACACCCCAATCCACAAAACAAAGTGCGAAAATGGTAGTGGTTCTGCAGGATGACTAACTATGAATATTTATAAGTTTATGGTAAAAACAATGAGGACATTTAGTGAATTTTTAGATTGCTTCCTATGCATTTGTTTGTGGTGACATTTTTGTGAAATTGTATCCTAATGGGCAGTTAATTGAGTTTGCCTGTCTATTAGAGATTGCATTTAGCAGTCATTGTTCTTCAAGGTGGAGCACAACCTTCTCCCTATGTAAGGATAAAAAAAGAAAACTGCTTCATTGTGTGATTTCGTGCTCTAGATAAAAAGGTGGCTCTAGTATTGGCATACTGATAAAGAGTGGCTCAGTCTACGATCAGTACAGTTAATTAATGCTTTTTCTCTTAAATAGGAATTTAAGTACCAGTCCTTTTCTCCTTTTGCCTTTGTAATTCCATAAAATTGTAAATGATGACTAGGCAGAGCTCTCCAAGCAGAACCATTGCGTGTACGTTTCCACTAAATGCAAGGGAAAGCACTATGTAATGGGATAATCAGAAAACAAGATTGGAGCTCTGTCAGCATGTTAGCTGGAAATCAAATGAGAAAAGGTGATTTGTAAGACTACTTCCTAGGAATCACAATGCTGTCAGAAACTATTTTTAACCATGGGGTTCTATTTGGCTATCTCACAAAGAGCTCACAAGGAAAAGAGAAACTGCAAGGTAAAGAATATGTGAAGGCGAAATCAAAGACAGGAAAATAGCGTGGGTATGAAGAAAGGAAGAAGTTATGTAATAAAAGAATAACATTTCATGGTTGAAGGCCGACAAGAATGGAATGAAGGGATCAGAAGCCATTCCTACTAGGATGAGGAGGTGATAACTTATAACTGAGGAAAGTCTTTTCCCAAAACTACATGATATAATGAGAAAAGAAGAAGCTATAAAAATGAAAAAGCATGACCCCAGCTGAGCAGATACTCAAAAACGGAGCTAAGCCACCAAGATTTAGTTGGTCTGAACACACCGTGAAGATCATGCTTTCTCTGGGTTCTTTCTGTAAATGCTTCAATAAATATCAATATATATTAATTTAAATAAAGCTCTTTGGCTTTCACATGAGATACAAGAAAGTATTTTCATGAAAGAACTTCATGTAAGAAGGGGTAGGTAAAAAAGTTAAGACGAAATTTTCCCCACATTTCATCCAAGAGCAAATGGATGGGACATCCTCTCTGAAAACCACATTTTTTTCCTGAAGCTATCAATACTAGCAGAGCTTATACACACACACGTCCATTGACAAAGCCCCAAGGCCAGATGGAACACGAAAAATTGTTCAGCTTCCTGTACCTTTGTTTTCAGCATTTCAATGTCTGGTCACGTATTGTTTTGCTGTTTTTATTCTTTATGCTCCAGTGATTTGCACCTGTAGCAAAGAAACTAACCTCATTGACAAGCTATTGAGAGATAGAGAACAGGTCTGTGTAACAAGCTGTTGAACCATCTTCTTGATTGATAGTAAAAAAAAAATAATGTCTTATTGATTTTTCCCACCACATGGGATTAGTTTTCCTTTATATGGCTGACAGGTTTTTGTTTGTTTATTTACTTTTCATTTTTGTTTTGTTTTCTTTTGTTCAGTACTAGGGATTGAACCCAGGACCTTGAAAAAGCTAAGCAAGTGCTCTGCCTCTGAGATACATCCCTACCCCATCTACCATTTGAAATGTTTTCATGCTGTTTACTCTGGCTGAAAAATATTTGCCTTCCTATCAAAGCCCAAGTAAATCCTCCCCCCATAGATCAGAACATCAGGGTGCACATGCATGGATCTAGGGCAGTGGTGATGGTTAGGACCATATTATATGCTGCTGGTGCACCAAGCACATTTCAAAGTCTTTACCTTGATTCTTTGTGTATCTCTTGTCACTATTTTTGCTCTTTTTCTCACCTTATTCCTAACAATTTATGACCATTTTGGACCTTAAGTAATACAGAGAGAATAGGTTCTTAATTTATACACTACATACCTGCATATCACATCTTCTCAAAATTAAGATCTACCTGGAAAACAAGTTCTAGCGTGATTTTAGAAGAGACATCCTCTGGAAATGAGCCCTGTTATTTGGTAGTAAACCCAAAAATGTTATGCTTTAGTCCTAAAAGGTCTAAACTGATGAGTTCATTTTGACTTGCTGCTATGAGGTGGGACCTGGTTAAAGACAGGTCACTGTCATGTGAACTGAAAGGGTGTGTTCTTGTCCCTGGCTCCTCGCTTCACTTTCTGCTTCTAGGCTGCCATGAGCAGAGCCGTTTCCTCTTCCATGCCCAGCTGCCGTGCCATTTCTGCTTTAGAGTCCACTAATCATGGACTGAATTTCCTGAACTGTGAGCCACAATAAACCCCTCCTCCTCTAAGTCATTGATCTTGGGTGCTTTGTACCATTGTAGGGGAAATGATTAACCTAGAAAATTAGTTCCAGTTGTGTGGCCATTTCTGTTACTGTACCCAATAATGTGACTTAAAATGCTGTTAGCAGAGACTGGTGAGATTCTGGTAAGACCTATGAAAACTAGAATGCTACAAGAACATGCATAGTAAAAGCCAGGCTCATGGGGTTTTAAATTAGAATGAGGATTGTACTGGAAACTGGACTAGAGCCCATGCATGCTTCAGTAGGACAAAGAATTTGTCTACATTTTTTTCCATGTCCTAAGACTTCATGTAAGGCTGAATTTAAAGCTGGCAGATTATTTGATCAGGCAGAGGAAATTTCAAGGCAGCTCAAAGTTTAGGTTGTGGCACTGGTATTGCTGTTTGCTTTTAGTCAGATATATAGTGAGAATTGGAAGCAAAAGGCAGACCCAAAAGATATAAAATTTTTCTGTATTTCCAGGAAAGAAGTGCCTGCAAAGTTGGGGAAAGGGAAAGCACAGTTACTGAAAAGAGCAGCATAAAAAAGAGTTCAAATACTTTGAGTCAGTGCAATAAGATAGGTGATTTGAAGGCATCTCAGAAATGGCCAGATTCTTCCACTCATAGAATCAAAAGGGTAAACATCTCTGAAAGACTTTGTTTTGAGAAGAGCGAACCAGGGTACCTAGACAATTCAGAGAAGCCTAGGAAAGTGAATCCTTGAGTCCATTTATCCACGGGACCCTGGCTGCTACTCCCATTGGAGCAGACCTGATATCATCCTAGTGGTGCTGGTGTTTCAGGAATGCAGAGTGCAAGAGTTGTGGGGTTATAGAGGCCTCCACCCATTTCCAGAAGAAGGCCAGGAAGAATACTTCTGAGAGGGTGGTGTGTGAAGCTGTAGAGTGAGGCTGAAACTACAGTAGAGACTCCAAAAAGCAGGAGATAGCAGGAATCTGAAATATCTGCCAAGGATAGTCACAGGCAATAAGCAGAGCCTGCCTAACAAGAAGTCATATGGGTTGCAACCAGCAAGGCTATGAGGGTCTGGCTGCCCAAGCCTTTTAAAGTTCACATTTCAGGGGCTGGGGATTTAGCTCAGCGGCAAAGCGCCTGCCTGGCAAGCGCAAGGTCGTGAGTTCGGTTCCCGGTACCAGAGAAAAACCAAAAAAAATAAAAAATAAAATAAATAAAGCTCACATTTCATCATGACCTGCCTTGTGTTCTGTGTATAAAGCTACAGGATTTAATGTTGCCCTCCTGGGATTTTTGTCTTGCTTTGACATGATTCCTTTCTAAGCCTGTTTCTGTCTTTTGAAATGGGAATGTTTATCCAGTGCTGCTGTATGTTGGAAATATTTAATCTTCTTTTGATTTTTATAGCTAAGAATTTCCCTTTAGTCTAAGAGGAGGCTTTGGACTTGCACTTTATCATAATGCTAGAAATGTCAAGACTATGGTGACTCAGAGATAGGCTAAATACATTTTGCATAATGTTATGGCCTAAGTTTCTCTGGGGGCCAGATGGAGAATATTATGATTTAGATCTAATATGTTCCCTAAAAATCTCATGTGTTTAGAAGGTGATTAGAACATGAGGGCACTGTATTCATCAATAGATAAGTCCACTGATAAGTTTGTAGTTGACGTGGCCCTCAGGTGGTGGGGTCTGGTTAGAGGTGAGGTCACTGAGGCAAAACCTGGAAGGGTATATGTCGCTAGCTCCTCTTTTCTTTCTCTGCTTCCTGGCTGTCTTGGGTTGAACTCTCCTCTGTCACGATCATTTTCCATCCCTTTCCCCTCTCTGGTCTGCCAACCATGGACTAAATTCCCTGAAACTGTGAGCCATAATCAACCTCTCCTCTTTTAGGTTGCAAGTGTTGGATATTTTGTACAATTAATGGTAAGATATCTAATAAAATATGCTCTTGATCCTAGTCAATGTCATACTTGGACCATCACTGTTTATGTGTCT